GTCAGAGGCCCCAGTACCGAACGAGTGACTCTCCGCACCGTTTCCACGAGGGGCCAATAAGCCGAATTGGTGTGTAGGTACCAATTATTGGACTCTGCGCTGGTGAGGGATCCTGAATCGGATCATCATCACTGCAACACGAGGAATGATGATGACGCCAATGCGTCATGAGGTCGTGGCACCGTGCGGCTCCGTCCCGATATCAATCTGAATACCGCACTAGCGAAACTGCCGCCCAGGTTGGCTTCCCTAGGTAGCTAATGGAGGTCATAAAGCATTCGGAAGTACCACGCCCCTATACAGGGGGGTTTTCTCCCGTCCGCTGACTGCCGCCGGGCGTTGGCTGTGGGGCCGACGCCGCGACAGATGGATATTGGTAAAGGCATTGTTAGACGAGACACCGTCGCGACTTAAAACATAAAGTTTGGAATTTCGTTTGCAGTGGTAGGCCTTCGACTTAACTGAACATGATGTTGTAGTATCACAGCAGAAAGCAGCAAAACCGCCCATGTTCCAATCAAAATGGCAGCATGAATGATGCACCGCGGTTTTGTCGCTTGCGTTGCTCCACATTCGGAAGGAAGACAGAAACAAAACAGAAACTGAGAACCACACAAACTACCGCGGCCATTTGCTATGGCCATGTTCCGCGACGGCCGCCAGACTTCCCTAGTGTCCTCGCCGAGCCGCCCTCCCAAGGAGACGCACCTCCCGCCCCCAAAGCACCAGCCCTCGGTGCGCACCTGTGGCCCGGTGCGCCGCTTCGTCGCGTGATTCGTGCCGCTGCCGCGCCGTCGGATAATTACCTGCGCCGCTATCGTCGACGGCGCGCCGCCGCCGCCTCGCCGCGGCGTTTATCGCGGCGGCGGCGGCGGGCAGGCGGTCGGTCTCAGGGCTGCATAATTCAGCGTCCGTCGGCCGAAACAGCGGCGCCGATAGCTAAACAAATTACAGCTCATTACGAGCGTGCGCGTGCGGCGCCGTCTGCCCGCCAGCACTAACAAGGGGCCTCGTTACGGGCGATGGTATCGCCTCGCCGATTGTGACGGGACGGCGGCCTTCCGCGGCGGTCACTCCGCCGATTGTGACGGGACGGCGGCCTTCCGCGGCGGTCACTCCGCCGATTGTGACGGGACGGCGGCCTCCCGCGGCGGTCACTCCGCCGATTGTGACGGGACGGCGGCCTCCCGCGACGGTCACTCCGCCGATTGTGACGGGACGGCGGCCTCCCGCAGCGGTCACTCCGCCGATTGTGACGGGACGGCGGCCTCCCGCGGCGGTCACTCCGCCGATTGTGACGGGACGGCGGTCGCCCGCGGCGGTCACTCCGCCGATTGTGGCGGGACGGCGGTCGTCCGCGGCGGTCACTCCGCCGATTGTGACGGGACGGCGGCCTCCCGCGGCGGTCACTCCGCCGATTGTGACGGGACGACGGCCGTCCGCGGCGGTCACTCCGCCGATTGTGACGGGACGGCGGTCGCCCGCGGCGGTCACTCCGCCGATTGTGACGGGACGGCGGCCCCCGCGGCGGTCACTCCTCCGATTGTGACGGGACGGCGGTCGCCCGCGGCGGTCACTCCGCTCCGGACACTGTTGACAGTGACGCGTGGCAGATGACAGACCCGGCACGGAGCGCATGACAATGAACACCCCACAAATGTTTATGCGCAACCGCTAAATGTGGTAGAAAACGGGTTGCGGAATTCGGTGAAGATCTTGCGAAGCAGAAATGTGGTTTCTCAAACTTAACTGGGGAGGGATGGGCTGAGAGGAAAAAAATTAATAAGGATTTCCCCAAAGTGCACCAAAACGGGCTTCTCGCCTGGCGCACTTTCTTCTGAAGTTTGAGGAGCGGCCCCCCCCCCCCCTCTCCTTGGCTTTACACGACATGGTCTCGGCATGCTGTGTGCGTAAGAACTTTTAAAGTGCACGTACAAATGCACGTTGAAGCTAGAGCAAGTTCTCGCAAAATCACGTACGGGTGAGCGGGCGGGCGATGAGCAATGGCGTGACCAGGCTCCGAAATTCGCCGACAAACGGGTTTCTTCATGGATTCTGTCACTTTCCTCTCAAATTTTGTAGAAGGGGGGGGGGGGAGGGCTCAAATCCCAACATTGGAATGATGCCATGATGAGCACACATCACGCCAGGGGTAGTGGCAAATATGCGTGACAAAGACGGACACTCAGTCCTGTAGGGTCACGGATTGGTCGCAACGTAGCTTCATAACGTGAAAATCTCTTGGAAAACACGTTCGTGGCCTGGCAATTAGCAGGCATGTGTGCGGGATTCATGCAACTCAAAATAGCTATGAGCAGGAGAAGCATGCAGGAACTACGAGCTCCCAATCTTTGCGTGTTAGAAAGGAGCAACATCAAACGTTAAGCCAATGGCTTGCAGTCACCCTCCTCTCACATTTAGGGGACCACGTCAGCTTAGGTTTCCGGCGGCCTTCTGCCTACATCCGTACGGCCCCCTACATGGACCCTTTCTGGCCTTCTTCGAGGAAGGAAGCCACAGTACGTGGGACTGGAGAGCTACCGTCCACTTAAGGGCTTGGGCTCCTTTATCTCTACTCTTCGAGGGTTTTGAGGTTCTCGCCTACAATGGTTAGTAGCACCACTTTAGTTGGGTCTGGCACGTCTCGCTAACTAGGTTTGGATTACCTCTTTACCTGGCTTGGAGGCAGTCGAACACTAAGGCTCTGAGTGCCTGCGTGGATTTCGGGCCGCCCTCTGTCTTAGCTAGGGACATCCGAACACTAAGGCTCCGGGTCCCCGCGTGGATTTTGGGTCGCCCTCTGTCTAAGGCAGGGACACCTAGCAATGAAGTATGCCTCTCTACCCGACCTTGGGACGCCTACAATATGGGCGAGGTGAGCATTTCCGTCGAATCTTATGGTTACACATTCGTCTGGGCTTAGGAGCGCAGCTCTTCTCCGGTTTTGCAGCACCATTTTTCAATTCCTGCAGCAGGGGTGTCTTCACTGGCCAGAAGTCCGCCTATAGTCTCAGATGCTAAAGGCGTGCGCCTTAATGGCACTCTAGCTTGGGTGCGCCAGAAAACGCATAGTGTCACTAATGGCGCATTCTATTTAATCGGAACGTGCAATATGCCAACTCTCACAATCCTCTTACAGCGCTAAGCCAATTTACCTTATCGGAAAGCACGAACGTCAATTACTGTGGCATTAAATGCTGCCCTAATGGTCTGGTGCAGTCTGTTGGGAATACTGAAGACTTACTAGTGCCGCCTGGATCCGATTCGTTCATTTTCTTAACCTGAGCAGCATTCAGAGCTACTTCACCAAAAAAGAGAGGAAAATCAGAGCCGTTTTTCACGTATGGCCATGTTTATCTTGCCACTACATATGCGTGCAATGCCGTCTTCACTCCTCCATGCTTTTATCCACCAGGTGCATGACTCCATTTAAATTACGAAACCAAGGCTGACAGAAGAGTGTCCAGGTAAAACTAATGAAAAAACCAACTATCGAGACAAAGTGTGTGGGAGGCGGGGGGGGGGGGGGGAGGGGGAAGCACAACTACGTGGCTGTGGTGTGTCATGTCTGAAAGGCCCATCATCTTACGTCTGTCTCGTTACCCCGGCCCCATGAGTGTAGCCACGTTCCTGAGATTAGGGAGCAAATCAGGATTGGAGGGGTCAAACTGGAGTCCGGGGGGATGATCCGACCTGTCAATAACATTTGCCGTGAGATGATGTGAAAACGTGCATTCTGCAGGCAAAATCGTTGGGGACAAAATCCCATGTAGCGAAAATTGGGGAGGACATACTCCCCAGCCACCAGTTTGATTTGGTTAGACGAGTGTCTGTGCCCCGGCACATATTAGTTCTTATCGTAAATCACTCTTGGTAGCGCTGTCGACTATTCTCATATCCATGAAACTACAAAAGGAGCTTGTAGCAAGCGCCGTTTGTGCGGACATCTTTGGGAACCAAGAAGGTTCAAATGGGACGCAAGCACAAATACGCAGAACTAGAAGGTGATGCGTTTTAAGGTTTTATGACAACGGTCGTGATAGTCTGACCCGCGTACTCACAGTTTTGGTCGTTGATGCCACCAGCCAGGGGCGAGGGAAGTCCTCTAAAATGGGGAGGGGTAGGGCAAAGTCATTTTCTTTATTGCCTTTTTTGGTCACTTACCAAAGGGCACGCTTAATTTCCGAAGAATATGGGACTTAGGCCCCTCCCCTGGCCTTCATTAATGTTGTTGTCATCTCTCTGACACCATCAGAAACAATGAGCCTAAGCGTCACGCGGTCGGCCTGTGTCAGAGCTGAACAGGCCGTCTGCAGAGCTGCTGTGTCAGAGCTGAACACGCCGTCGGCAGAGCTGCTGTGTCAGAGCTGAACACGCCGTCTGCAGAGCTGCTGTGTCAGAGCTGAACACGCCGTCTGCAGAGCTGCTGTGTCAGAGCTGAACACGCCGTCTGCAGAGCTGCTGTGTCAGAGCTGAACAGCACATGTGATGAGCTACTGTGTCAGAGCTGAACAGGCCGTCTGCAGAGCTGCTGTGTTGCCACACGTCTGCGCACTGAACCAGCGGCGGTGCCGACGCGCAGGCCACAGGTGGAATTCACGGAAGCACGCGTTCCCGCGGTCACCCCCTCCCCGCCGCCGCTGCCAACACCGCTCCCATGCTGTGCCCGACTGCGCGTCACTCCTCGTTGCTGATAATTCGAGGGGGGGGGGAAGGGTCGTGCGGAGAGGACACCATGCACCCGAGATGAGGCCCGAGGCGGGGTGATTGTTCACACGACGTGTGAGCCACCGGCGATAATGCCCTCGGACGGAGCGCCGGCCATCGCTGTAACTCTAGCCCGCACGCCTCAGAATGAGGTGTGTTTATGCTCGCCGCGCCGACCCGTCAATGGAGGCATACCGCCGACCTAATGGGGTTAATAAAGATTTCCACCCGAGATAAGATGCCCACGACGTGCCGGTAAAAGGGACGGAGCTGCAGATTAAAACGTCCTCACAATGGCGGCGCGGCGCGCCGGCTGGCGGCCGCCGCTCTCGGGGCGGAAGCAGTGCCTGGCGGCCCGCCCGGCCGGCCCGGCCGTGCCCGACCGGCCCGTGTGGAGATGCAAATGGTGGGCGCCACGCTGGCCGTCTCCGTTCCCGGGAGCCGTGTTTGTTTATGGCTCATTGTGTGGTCGGTGTTCGTGGCGCTCGGCTGACGGGGGGCGCGCGTGTGGCAATACTCCCCTCTACCAATACCCCCCTCGCCTCCGTGCCGCCGGTGCAGTGGTGCCGCGCGCGGGCCGTACTGTCGCGCCAGGATCAGCTAGGCAGTTAATGACGATCAATTAGCAAGAGACAATCAGTCATTTCGGAGCGATTGCGTCAAAGCGTCGACATCTGGCGCGTGGTAGTGAACGATTGTGCGCGCGCCCGAACATACCGCACCTGCGACGCATTCTTCTCTCCTCCGCCCGTATACTGGTATGGACAATAAGCAGCCACGTGTACCTGCGTGTTCTGATGCACGCGTGTCTGTGTGTGCGAGACATGGTCGCCCGGGCCAATTGCCGGTTAATAAAGCCGCATGCCACCCGCCAGTAATTGTTATTAATAGGCCAATAATGGCCAGCATGCAACCAGGAGATTACTACGTGGCCCAGGCCTGTGTTTAATCATACCAATAATAACATTAGGGCGCAGCCGGCTCAGGGCCGTATGCACCGACTATCAATTGCCGTTGCCGCAGGCACGTGAGCGGACAGCGCTGCCGAAGGGCACGTGCGCCGCCGCGCGACGGCCACGACACCGACCGGGTCCTGAGATGGCCTCAGGCATCGAGCGTGCCGAAGACACCGTGGCGCGGGGTTTGCGGTGCGAGCTGGTGTATGCATTGTCCATTTTATATTATTTCAATGACTGAGGTATTGCCAATAACCTTGGAAATTCGCAGTGACCCAGGGTAAGTTGAAACTTTTAGGAGGAAAGTTCTGTTGTCTAAGACGGGTTTTTACAGCGTGTTACAAGAGGCCAAGGAGAAACAGCATACAGCCAGGAGGGCAGACATGTCATGCTTGAAATGACAAATAACATTTGCTATGACAGTCAAAGACCTGAATAGCTGATGGTATCCAGGTCCTTGAAACCAGAACCACGAAAGAATGGGCCTTGTTTCCCTCCACTTATCGTTAGCCGCTTGTCGGCCCGGGAACACACCGTAGCGCAATCAATGTCGCTGATTGCATCGAGCAAAACGTACCAAATCACCCTTTAACAATGCAGTTTCATGAATCAGGTCCATTTCCTTGTATTGGATGCAAACGCTTGTTGAAAATCGTGGAAATGTTTACTGTGATTTTTCTGAAGACCCCCACTCTTATTCTTGCCGCACCCCTGGCGTTTGAAAGACTCACGTTCAGGGGTAATTAAGAGTCGTGGAAAGTGGGCAGAACCCAAATGCTGCAATCAGTCCCGCTGGCAATGTTATAGTATGCATATATAAGTATTCCAATTGCTTCAATATTCTAGTGGGAACTGGACGAAGGCCTTCAGTGTGTCCCATCCTTGCAAACGGCACCGTCGCGCCTCGCACATCGCCCTTTGCAGCGCACCAGCCCACGGCACATGACCTCAAGTCTCGAATCCATGTCACCACTGGGTGCCGTCGGCAGGCGGCTCGGACGAGGCGCGCGGCAGCGACCGGGACGACCCCGACACGCTGAAGGCGCTCGACGACGCCAAGTCGAAAAAGCACCGCCGCAACCGGACCACGTTCACCACGTACCAGCTGCACGAGCTGGAGCGGGCCTTCGAGAAGTCCCACTACCCGGACGTCTACAGCCGCGAGGAGCTGGCCATCAAGGTCAACCTGCCGGAGGTCAGGGTGCAGGTAAGAGGACAGCGCAGCAGCGGCCACACGGGACAGGGGGGGGGGGGGGGCGGAGGGCAGGAGGGGATAAAATATAGCTTTGGTGGTGGGTGATGAATCGGTGTGTGACAACGAGCGCTGCTCAGGTGCGTGCGAGTGCACCAATGCTTCAAAAACCAGTTCATATCCATCACTTTTGACATTACCGGTTTTGCTGTAACAAATTTGACCGAAGGTTTTGCAATGATGGCATAGTGGTGCGAGCCCTTGTCAAACATCACTTGGTGCGAAGATCCTCATATACGCCACGCCCCCCAGTAGGATAATGACATGACAACGTGTATGTTTTGCAAACAGATCTTACGGCAACGAAGCGATGCATAGCATACACCACTGATGGCATCATCCACATGGTGTAGCAGGGCCACCCGTGTCACCCTGCCTCTCTGAACAGGGCCACCCGTGTCAACCGGCCTCTCTGAACAGGGCCACCCGTGTCAGCCTAGCTCTCTGAAAAGGGTCACCCGTGCCAGCCTGGCACACTTAGCAGGGGCGACCGTGTCAGTCTGGCTCTCTGTACAGGGCCACCTGTATCAGCCTGGCTCTCTGAACAGGGCCACCCGTGTCAGCATGGCTTCCTTGACCAGCGGCGAATTGACCGTCACAAGTGCTCTCATGGACGGTGTTTCCACACGCCCGCCACACAAACAGCAGGGTTGACGCCCTTCCTACAGACGACATGCCGGCAGGGACGGCTGTAGTGACAACTGCACAATAACACAGGCAGAATACGACGCTGCCGTGCTGGTGAGGATCACAACTCAGCTGTCACGGCTGGTGCCGCCTGCATGTGCCGTGTTTTGATGCTGTCTGTCTGCTGCCGGCTAAGGGGCAGGTCAGAAAAAGGAACGGGATCTGTTACGCCAGGCGTAACAAACCGGGGATCGCGCAAACGTCATTTCAGGTCGACATACTCTGCCTATGTTTTACAAGGCAAGCTCTTGTTTTCATCATCACGTTAGTTGTTCAGTGCATTAGCGAGGGACATTATTCACATAGATAAGAGAATTAGTTCTGTTAAAGAAGGCAGCATATTCAAGAAAATGCTGCCTGACAAAAGTCCTGTAAAACCTGTAACTTGCGGTTTAAAAAAAAGCAGAAAAATCGAGTGGGATCCTGAATTCACTTTAAGTATTGCTTCGATAAAGACATGTTGCCGAAATATGAGCCTAACTTTATCTCTATTCTCCTATATCTTTCTTTTGTTCCGGAGAATAAGGCTAACACTACCGTCTCAGCTAGTTTTCATTGCTGACATTGCCCCGCCAGCCAGGGTCAGGTCCAAGCCAAGCAGGCCTGGTGAGCTCCCCGGTTTCTCTCTACCGTGCACTGTGGACCGCCCGGTCACGGTGCTAGCTGCTGGCCGCTTGCGTGTTGCGCACGCCGCAAGCCGCGTCATGTCTGATGGTGGGTCGCCGTCACCGTCGCGTGGCGCGTGCATCACCTGTTATTTGCAGTTGGTCAGCCGGCGGCCGTCCTCGCCACCGCCCGCCACGAAACACCCTCCAATTAGCGCTGGTTTAACCTCATTTCATCGCTAATTACCCCAGCCTATTAGCGGTAAATTTGAATTGATCTTTGTGACAGAACCGTCTGCCACGTTCCCACGGCGGTGGCGTCACCGTTTCTAATGACATCGATTCTTTCCGCGAATGCAAACTAGATAGCGTCTGCCCGCGACAGGCGACGGCGCGTCAGGGATACAGGCCGTGCTGCTTCGCTCGTGCACCGCGGGTGCGTTCCCACCGCGCGCGTGGTCGGCGCTAGTTCACTTCTCATCCCGCTCCGTCGTCACCGAAATGAACGTGGTCATGCGGCGAATTGTTCTTTCGCAGCCCCATCGATACTTGTAAAATATTGCCTTTGTTTTCGATAAATTGCCCTGGAGTTGGCCAGTCCAAACCGTTTGCATTGAAAGCCACTCAGGCATGATGCCATTGCATCTAGGCGTTCAGCAACTGAAACACTGCGCTGCGTGCATCTGCGTGGAACAGCGCCCTGATCGACACACATGCCAGCGGGGCCACAGCAACAGAGCACGCATCCGTCTCGACAACGTCGGCGACGTGCCGAGCCGGCGCTGGCTCCTCGCCGGAGCACCGGCCGACGCGACTGCCGGCGGAGAGCGCCCCGCCGTCGCGGCCGCGCCATTAATACCGGCCGTCGCCGGGGCTGATAGTTTGATCCGCCGCCGCCCGACGGCCGAAGTCCAGCGTGAGAGCGCACCACGTGCCAGGCCGCCGTTCGTATTATTGTTTGATTGCCGCCTTCAGAGCGGCATTAGCTGTTTTACGGCCGGCCGGGCCGCGCCGCCCTCCGTGGGGGCACCGTGGCCGGACTGCGCCGCCCTCCGTGGAGCACCGGTCGCGACGCACGGCGGCGGCCGGAGGCGGCGGCGACAGGGGTCGCTGGGACGGTTGCCATTCTTCCGGGAGATTTTGGCGGGTGTCACGGCCTGCAGCGAGGCATCGCTTTTGCGGTGTGTCACAGTCATTACGCCATTTGGTCTTGACAGAGCTCTGTTTTCGAACTCTAAATGTTAAGGCTTAATTGGAATCTCATAAAAATGGAGGGGTTTAGAAAAGCCGTGAAGCTCTGTCCTCAGCCGAATTGTGTATATTTGTTGGATATTTGCCAGCTCGGGAAAGAGCCCTGCATGGAGAGTGCGCTGACTACAACGTTTGACGCTACCATGACTCAGTCTGTCTTCACTTCCGATTTAGTTCCCCAAGCGGCCGGCGATAGGACCCGCCGCCGCCGCCTCCCCGGTCGTCACGTGACCGTGCGGCACGCGAGGCGCCCCGCCCCCCTCCCCACCGTCCGGCCGCTGGCTCCGCGCCACCCGGCTATCGCCGCAGAAGCCGATTATCACAAACGGCCTGCCCCTCGGTCCCATTAACAGAACAGGTAAATGATGACATTAAATTAATTGGTTAATATAGCCGCGAAAGCCGCAGCTGAATTATTCACGGCCGCATTCCGTGCGGGGAGAGGTCGATCGGTGTGCCGGTGATGTGCACGAGCTCTGGGCGACGGCGCACGAGTTGGCCCCTCAACTATTTTTTTCTGTTGGGCACCCTCCCCCACTCCTGCATGTTGTGTGAGATCGCCCGCGATGGTGTTTAGAATTAACGGAAACCAACAAGGAAGACTTAAATTTCGTGAATGCTTCCGTTGGTTTTCAGCATCTTCGTGAAATCAATCAGGGTCAGCACCTGCTTCTTTGCCTGGCATAGCCAACGTGTAGCGGCAAAGTTTTCCAGCCAAAGCAGACAACTGAAAACCCTTTATTACGCTGTGCTGTTTGTCAGAACAATAAAACACACGAAGCTGTGCAGTCCGTCCCTACACATTTCTGCCTACCTTGCATGGCAGAACACTTAACAATTGTGTATAATTATCAAGTAATAAAGCAGCACCCTCGAACCTGTACTTATAATATTCTTATCTGAAAGTTTGTGGCAAAGGAGAGGGAGAGCACGGCATTTCTTTGTTTGAGTCTTCATATCTTTAAGTGTAAAACTATTGCATGGTGTCGCTGCTGGATTCGTGGTGCAGCGTCATTCCATGCCATGATTTTACATTCATGTAAGTGCAAATGCATGAGTGTAAACTTAAAGCAATGGCATAAGTAGCACTTTTTCGCTAGAAATTAGTACAGGAACATGACATCTGCGATCTCCTTAACTGTCAATTTTCTTAGTTTTTTCAGCACAAAATATCAAACACGGAACAGCAACAACGGCATCAAAATGTACAACAGCATCTATTACACGGAACAGCAACAAAAGCATCAAACTGTACGACAGCACAGCCCAAAAACAGCCTGCTGTTTGGCGGAAGAATATTTCATTACGCCAAGACATACTGACTATTCCTTTGGTCATTGCTAAGAGTGGGCTGGAAAGCCCCGTAAGTAACCGTGAAATGGCGTCCTCAGTCATGTTCACCGCTCTTGACAACATATGAGCTTTGCGTAAGTTCAGTCGTGTGGTATCCACAGTTGGGCTCCAATTGACAAAACAATCATGGGCAATATCACGTGCGAGCAAGCAACAGCCAATGCATATACAGTTATGCGCCTGAAAAATGAGGCAATTAATACCAGCCACAACTTAAGCTCAAATAGCTGTAATTCTTGTTAAGGTTCCGGAATGGTCAAAGGTCAAAACTAAACAAGCCAAAGCCCTCTTATACCACGCCATGCCGCCCGTCGCTACAGTGCGAATGTCGTTAGCGATTAACTGCTTCCAACAGAATGTTTAATTGCCTTCATCTTGATAAGCTAATGGCGCCTTTCATCAGAAATACCAAATAATTCACACATCAGTTAGCAGGTACAAAGTGCATTGCGTGCAGTAATTCATGGCGCAGAAGACACCGGCGTTTAAGAAGATAACCGTAGTTCACCAGGATTGAAGTCCTAAACCACTCTTGCGTACACGTTCGCTGTTCACTTGCTGTCACTTAAATGTACATTGACCTTGTCAAATATGTAAGCTACTAGTCAGTTGTATTGGAACATGTATGATACCTAGTGTTGTGCAGGTTGGTGATTCACTCAATCGAAGCGAAGTCAATTCCTCTTAGAAATTCAGGCCTCGAACGTACATAAGCACAAACTTAGGTTCCCAATGGCACCCTGCACGCTTTTATTGCAACTCAATGAAAATGAGTGAGCATAAAATCATACTTTTCTAGCCATCCTATCCCACGGGAGCTATCCATGATAGATGACCTCCGGACTGGGTAGTGCCCGCAGAACTGCAGTTACGCTCAAACGATCTCCGATCCAACGCTGCGATATCCGCCCTCCAATCCCAAACCTATGCTCAGTGACCATCCGGACCCTTCAGCTCGACGTAAGGTCTGTGTGAATCCTCTGCCCTGCATCGCGACCCCCGCCCCCTCCCCCACTCTCAGCCCATCGGGCAGTGAGAAGCCTGGGCAGGCGCACTCCC